CCTTGGGTTACAGTTGGTGTAAACCTAGACCACTGTGGCCTCTCTGAGTTTTAGTCTCTGTATATATTAGATTCAAATGTAAATTGAGGACTAGGGTGTTGCTAGCTCAGTGATCAAACACTTGCCTGTCACGTATGAGGCTCTGAGTTCCATAAAACTCACGAGCTTTTGTTCTACATAGTACTTGCTTTTCCTGTTAACCAGCTGTGCATGTAACTTAAGCTGTTTATTGGCTTGTAAACCAGGTCTCTCCTAGTAGCTTAGGCTGACCTTGAACTCACAGTCCTCCTGCCTCAGCCTCTCATGGGCTGGGATTATACTTATGCACCACCATACCCATATCATGGCTCGGTCTTCCTCAGTGCTTCTGAAGGCTGACTTATTGGGTAGCATAGCAAGTGCTATGTGAAGGAGTGGAGGTCTGCTGGGCACTGATACCAGGCTTCTGGATTTGGTCTTCCTGTTACAGTATGAGGTGACCCAAGACAAGTGTGAAAAGTACTCACAACAGTATGGAGCTCTCCCAAGTACTCACTATAGCATTAGGGGAGAAGCACTGCCTAGAAAGAGTGACAGAAGGTGTGGCTGCCTCTTGTACTTAACAGCCCTCTAAGGAGAAGCTGATGTGATGGCCCTTGGAGAGGCCCACAGAGGGCATAGTTGTAAGCAGTAGCCAGGACTTGGCACTTACCAGGCAGGTGGACCTGAACATATGGTTCCCTCCTGGCTTTGAGTTCTAGGACCTGTCAGTACCGGCACAAAGCAGATTGTACAGGTCAGTCAGCAACTCAGCAAATGCATTACCCTTTGGGCCATCTCACTAACCTGGACTTCAATCTTTAGCATTGACATCAGTGTTTCTCAACATGTGGGTCATGACCCTTTGTGGGGGCATCAAACAACCCATTCACAGGGGTCGAGTAGCAGATATCTTGCATATCAGATAGTTACATTATGATTCACAACAGTTGTAAAATTATAGTTATGAAATAGCAGGAATAATTTTATAATTGGGGGTCACCACAACATGATGAACTATTTTAAAGTGTTGAGAACCCTTTAAAGGGTTATATCCACTTAGGATATTTAGGAAGGTTGAGAACCACTGATCTGCATGGTTTCCCACTCTAGCAGTGGTATGACCAGAGTTATATAACCCTTACTCATCTATGGACCTTTAGATGTTTCTAGCTATTGCTTGATGGCTGTACTTAAAAAAAAAAACAAAACAAAAAACAAAAAAACCCAAACTTTTAAAATTATTCTTATGTAAGTTTGTGTTTCTCCTGCATGTATGTTTGTGTGATGGTATCAGATCTCCAGGAACAGGAGTTATAGACAGTTATGAGCTGCCATGTGGGTGCTGAGAATTGAACCCGGGTTCTCTGGAAGAACAGACAGTGCTCTTCACCCTGAGCCATCTTTCCAGTCTCCAGATGGCTGTATTTTATTTATTTATTTATTTATTTATTTATTTATTTATTTATTTATTTATTTATTTATTTATTTATTTATTTATTTATTTATTTATTTATTTATTTATTTATTTATTTATTTATTTATTTATTTATTTATTTATTTATTTATTTATTTATTTATTTATTTATTTATTTATTTATTTATTTATTTATT